AGAGCATTGAGACAAGAGGACGTTTTTGTGTGAAAGATATTGGCGCTTCAGAATTTACTTTGAAAATGACTATTTCTCCAGTGGCATTAATGTTTGGGGGGTTAAACCCTTACGAGGCGTTGAATTCTCCTCCACTGACATGTCCAAGGAAATTGATCAAGAGCCCTAAAAGTAGTCATTATTGATGATGAAGTGTGTTCGAAGGCTCAACTCCGTTATCTCAAACGGTTCCTATGATAGTAGCAAAAACAGATTTTTTTGGATTATTTTGACGCCCTGTATCTTATTGATAACAGAAGCCCGGAGACAAATTTCGAAAGGGAAAAAAAAAATTCTTTTCTCATGAGGAACCAACAGTTCTTCGTTGTGACACTTATTTGTTAACACCCTGTATAGAATAAAAATATTATACAATAATATTTCAATTTCAATGTTCCTATCAGAGAGCCTAAATAATGAATGTACCACCTCCTCGATTGACTTACATTTTTCAAAAAATTAATCTTTGTACGAGTCAAGTTTAGTTCAAACTGAAGTTTGGTTTTAATTGGGCTTCATAAATCCACCTCTATACTATCTGAAAATAGGTACCCGCACCTTCCTAAATATCTATCTCACTATCTACCCCTGACACCTTCAGAGGGTTGTTTAGGTTTTTAGGTCTCACTACGTTAGGTAAATATAGGTAGTAGATACAGTCACAGTACTACTGTTTTTCTTTCATTTTTCAAGCTATTTTTCAGCACTTTACCTTCACCTGCTTCAACAAAAGCACAATAAACAATAAACAATAATTAGTAATGAAATATATATGCCGTTTGACAACCAGAGTTTGCATTGGAGTTTGCCGGTTCAGGTCGTGGCTATAACACCGACTGCCGGCAATGGCAAAGGGAATATTTTCGAAGGTCGACTCAAAGTAATCAATTTATATGACAGATACGAAACGAAAGCTACGAAACCACCATGGTGTCATACACTCTATTCTTTTAGATCTCGTTCTGAACGAATGAAGTGTAAATAACATCAGAATATTCATAAAATCGTAATATTCCATATTCAAGGAAGCTTCAATAGATATTTATGTATCAAGGACGTAAAATAGAGGCTTTTATGGATCGTAGCGTGTAAGTATATAAGGGTCCGAGCGATAGCAAGAGGGCTATTAACACAACCGAAATACATACAATATCTTATGCACGACCGATACATATGATTTTTCTTCTGTAGTAGTCCATACTCAAAGTGGAGTGGAATATGATCAAGAGAGAAAAACTCAAAGTCGTCTCCACAATTTTTAATGTATAATAAGGCAGTCAATCCTGCCTCAATAAGGTTGAAAGTTGATACATGTTTCGGCCATTCAAATGGCGTGTTTCTTGAATCCTTTGATATCAAGGTGAAATATATCAATATTGGAGTGGCAAATTGTATTGTACGATTTCATACATCTTATTAGAGGTGAATTACTATAATAATTAGTTGAGAAAGAAGGTGGGTAGAAAGTAAGTCTATTCCTAACCATTCTAGGATTACAATTCAAGTTCAGGAATCCAGTGCATGCTGTTGAATCAATATGATTGTTGAAGATCTTGTAAATGAATAATATGTCAACGAAGTCTCTTCTAATGAAAAGATTATCTTTTCTATAGAAACTTAAGTAAGCGGAAGAATCTATAGTTCAAATTGTTGACCAATTTTTTTCGAACATGTTCAATTTGATTCACATATTTGTTTTTCTCTCTTTCCCCCCTTAGCGCGCCCGTCACCCCCCACCCCACCATTAGAAATCCGGCCCATCGGCCCCAACGCCGTGGTCGTCGAATGGGGCGTCCCCGAATCCGACGGCGGGGCTCCACTGCTGGGCTACAACATTGCCATCCGCGACACCAAGAAGACCATGTGGATGGAAGTAGGCCGGGTGCAGCGAGGAGTGCAGAAGTTCACCGTGCGGGAGTTGCAGGAGGGCAGGGAGTACGCGGTGCGGATCTACGCGAAGAACGAGGTGGGGGTTAGCGATCCGCTGGAGGGGGAGGAGCCGTTCAAGGTTCTTCCTTCGGGAGGTAAGGGCATTTGTACTTAGCTCATAGTATTCATTAATTAGTAGAAACAAACAGGCCGAGCCTAATTACATATATTATGTTTCTCAACATTTCAGAGTACTTATGTCAAGTGCAACATGCAGTAAGTAATAATACTAGGTGGAGACTTCAACTGGAATAAATTCGCTACATGAGGAGTGAATGATTTTTCTGTAAATTCGCGAGACACGTCATCGTTTAAATGTATTTACCTACATTTAGCGAGCAATATGGAGGATATTACCCTTTAGCGGTAGCTGAAATCGATCCCAACATGTTTTTTTCAAATGCAACCCTATGGCTTGCGACCCCTCATTGGAAAGCTGGTTGAAAGAGGAATCCAGACATGGCAACAATTCTCGAATGGGGAACCAATAAACTTGGTAGATTTCAATGCAAACAAAACACAAGCATGCCTTTTCTCTAGACAAGCCGATCTCACTGTACCCAACATAAGCTTGTCATACCTTTGAAGTCATCCATTTCGATAATTGGTATTACTATCAGCAATAACCTTTCTTGGGAGATCAATTGCTAAAAGTGTATCCCGAAAACTTGGTTTTCTGTTTCGGACCAGGGGCTATTTCACTTCCAGTCAGCTGCTTATGATCTATAAGGCACAGATCCGACCTGTCCTGGAATACTGTTCCCATATTTGGAGTGCAGCACCCAAACATACCCTGAAGCTGTTGGATTCTGTCCAAAGAAGGGTGATTCGTCTCGTGGGTGATGCCTCGCTCACAATAAACTCCACTCACGTCTCTGGAACACCGTAGAAAAGTTGGAAATCTGACTCTATTTTTTAGATATTTTCATGGACAATGCTCTACTGAAATATCAACAATTATTTCTTCCTAGGCAGTCCCCGCGAGATTAACCCGTCGAGTTGGGACTTCTCACCCCTTCGGGGTCACTTTGCAGACCTGCAGAACATGTCTTTCCAAAGAAATTTAAGAAGTACGCCAATTCCTACCTTATTTCCCTTGGATCTCACGATGTTCTCTGAACATTACAGGATACCCCTTCTTGTGGGAACCAGAACATAAGAAAAACATGTATATTAAAACATATCCTTATAATTCAGTACCAGGTTCCAATGAATTTTGTACTCAACTCCGTCATTTTCACAATATAATGATAATAAGGGACGCCCATGGCCATGAGCAGATCTGGCTACACTGGACCAACTGGACCAACAGATATAAAAGCGCTCACAGGCTCGAAATTAGCGTTGACATAGGCGGCGTGCCCTGGAATTTCGGTTGCATGTATTCTGTTGCTTTTATGGTACTTATCTTGATGGTGCCCAGATGTTTTTTTAAATAGTTGAATCATCTCTTTCCACACTCGAATGCAAATGAGCGATTTAATGCAGGAGCCTATATTTGGTAAAAAGTTAGAGTTCTCGAAATATTTATAACAGATTCAAATTGTGAAAAGTGATATACATATTGAAAAACACAATATATTCGAGAATAATAGTTTATAGGTCCAGAAATGACATTGATTGTTTCGATTTTTTGTTTTATTCAATCTTATTTTCATACTTATACTTGTATTTTTTATTATTTACATGATAGTGCATATTATTCATATGTTACTTATGGTGTTAGTGTCAAACTCTTTTTATATTTTTTGATACAATTGCATTCAATGTACATGCAAGGTTTGTTTTTTATTCTATTTTATTAATTATGTATGTTGTGTAATATCATTACTTTGTCAATGAGAATTCTTTCTTGGACATTAAAGTATATATCTATCTATCTATCTATGTAGACCTTCTTGACATGGGTTGGTATCCTATAATTACACTATATTTTTACTTCTTTACCATTCATTTCATTTCATTCATTTCATTCCATCTCATGTATCGGGGTTATAAAGGAAATCATAAAAATGTTATCACTGTTTGTATATCAATGTCTCAAAAATTCTGGCAAATCGCAAAAATAAATGGCTAAACTTTCTGTTCATTTTTTCAGAAACAGACCAAGACGACTTTAGAGAAGCAACCGATAGAGAGCCGACATCGTACAGCACAGAAACGTCAACTTCTTGGCTGAGAGACAACAGTATGGACGCAGATATTCATTCATACTCGAAGGGAACGCTTCTGAAGAAAGACGAATATTTCTTCCGTATCTGGTGTTACGCCACTAAGTTATTTAAATAAATCATCGAATGCGAACGAGATTATATATTTTCCACAGATGTACATATTCACTGATTAGACGATTAATTATATAGAGATTTATTATACTGATTTTTGACAATGTTCATATACAAACTCAAACTGAACTTTTTCTGAAATGATGTTGCGAATTGCGAGCGACTTGGAATTGATAAGAATAATTCAGGACAATTTTAGTTTGAGTTTGTATTTTTAATGAGGATACTGTGATACTGGTTATGTATTAACAAGAAAGTGAGCCACGGGTCTCACAAACGACTTAAAATGATGTAAAGAATGATTTTTCTTGTTATTTATATATTATGAGCAAAACCTATATACGAATGGTTATTTATTGTTTTGGTTGAATATTCATTAATGTTTTTATTGATTATGCTATGCATGGTATTTATTGAAGTTTTATTATTTTATCGACTATTAATTTTGACAGATTAAGGAAGACGAAGGCACTTTTGAGAGAAAATATAGGTGCATAAAAATCAAAGAGGTGACTTCATCTTCATTAATTTGATTAATAATTAATAAATTATATATACGTATTTATGAACGCCTTTTTTATTTATACACCTTTCAGCATAGACAAGTTCTTGTGAGTGTTTCCGATACTCTCATGAACATAGTCCGAACCAAAACTTGCGCAAACGAACTTTTTTACCTCTTTGATAACACCCAGTCTTTAAAAATATTTGGAAACTTTCAAATTACTAAAAGAGAGAATTGAAACATCAGAAGATGAGCTGTATATTAATATAATAAAGAATATATGTGAACGATAAAACTGTTTGTTAAACCTACCTAACAATATAATTGATTTTGACTAAAATAAGAAATATATAACATCAAAATAATATGCCTAACCATTTAACCAATATTTCAAATCTATTCAAACCGAGAGTCCAGCTTTTTGACGACACTTCTGCATCAAGGCGCGAAGCATGAACTGTTTGCGTGACAATGTTCTAACTTGTCTCAAGAAGACATCGAGATCTATCACACCACATCTGAGTGCTTCCCCCATGTAATAGATTGCATCTTCTAAGGCAGCTTCTTCAGCAAAGGCATTCAACAACCTGAAAGTAAAAAACTACACTAAAAACAGTGACGATTACAAATTGTAATTGTGATTCAACTCGTTTCTCAACTCGAATGTTTCTACTTGTTCAATATAATCGAAAAATTGAATATCTTACTGTTTGTACAAAGGAGCAGTTGTTATAACAGCATCATCAACATCTATGGACTCCTGATTGCTTATCCTTTCTATGGCTTTGTCTAACTCTTGTTCCTTATCTTGCAATAACGTTATGTTCTTGTCCAAATCATTCTGGAACAAGCATCACTTTAGAGATTTGGAGACTGTGATGAAATATACAAATACTAGGAAGAAAATCGAGAACCACAATAAAAATTAGAAACAATACGTAGGGCGGTGCAGTATGTTTTGTCTGATTAAGTAATTTTGACAACGTTTTTTATTGAAAACCATCTCTGTTGTTCCACTTCAGTACTGAAGAAAAAATATTATCATAGACAAGCTATACTCTGTTCACGCGGAAACAATGTATGCATGAAAGTCAAACTTAATTTTAAAAAAAAATAATTTTACTACTTCGACCAAAAGTCGAAACATTCGGTATTAGGAAGAGCGGGACCTACAGCTTATAGTGTATACCGAACCACTTCTAGAGCGCCGATTATTATATCTTACTGGAAAACTCCCCAAGTCAAAGCACCGCTACTAATGATTCGATTTTTTTAAAACAAAAAAGGAAGAGAAATTGATTATCTGATACTATGAGTAGACTCTGATTATCATTTTTCAAACTGTAATGTCAGCAACTGTCGATTTTTTTCCAAAAATGTTTTTATCGTGTTATCAGAAAACAACTACTTTCTGTTGAATATACCTAGGAAGAATTAATATTTTCATCACAGAGAATGCGAATACTCAATGTATTTTTTTTAATGTATCCATTTTTTGTATGTTCATAATATATCGGAGAATATTACTTTTCAATAATTTCATACCTATTCAAGGGGTTCAAACTTGAATGACGGTTTCCTCAATTTTGAATTTCTTTCCACGCCCTGTATGATGTAAATCAATTTGTCATACATCCAAACAAAAGCTTCTACAGAGTTCATCATTGAAGATAGAAAAAAACTTCAAATTATCAAACCTCCAGAAAATTGTACGGGTTGAAACAAATGAATATTGCTGATATAAGAAATGGAACACCCTATATATTTTTCGAAATAACTTCAGATCTTCCTTTTCTGATTTCAAAAATATGTAGGTTGCTGAAATTTGGTTTAGCCGTTTTCTAAATATTTGAGGTTGAACATTTTCAAGTTACAATTTGATTTTGATTTTATGAAGTTCGATCAATGACAACCTGCATATGTGATGTTGTTTCTTCATGACCTCGAATATTTCATAAACGGCTGAACCGAATATCAACAACCTATACCGGGTGTAACACGATCATGGTACACCAAACCATTTAATTTATTTCAGCATCACACATGTCGATATGAATACATCAGACTTGATCAGAATAGTCATGGCACACTCAGATGAAAGATAAAAAATGAAATTAAAATCATTATTATTCTTATTCTTATAATTATTATATGAAATTATATGAAATGTCACTTATATGGTAGGTATCAATGATATATAGGGTGTCCCATCTCTAAAACTAAGAGAAAACGGTGTACGATGATCCTGTTACACACCTGTTAAATCAGAAGAGAAAGATATTGGATTTTTTCGGAAAATATATAGTGTTCAATTATTGAAAATAACGAAGTTGGTACCCATTTCTTATGTCAGCGATATTCATTTGTTTCCCCTCGTACAATTTTCTGGAGGTTCAGAACAAACCCTTCAACTTTTGTATCTGAAGCTTTTTCTATCTTTCCCTACAACTGTCATAGAAACTGCACTTTTTGAATATATTTTGTGTGCCTAGAGTGTACAATTTTTCAATAACAAAATACTGTTTCTTCATTTAACGAAAAAGTGTGGACAAAATTACACTCATTTTCACGGTTGTTGCTAGGCGATGGAATGAATGCTTGCGTGGTAGGCTGTTTTGTTCGACAAACAAGTCTGTTTGAACAAAAATGACGCAAAACCGAGGTGTATTCGCTAGGCACACACCACACACTTCGGTTTTGCGTCATTTTTGTTCGAACATACTTGTTCGACGAATAAACAGCCCACCAGCAACGCAGCATATATGCTCCTTTACGGGATTCAGCAAGGCAGCAAGCGAACAAATCAAGGCGGTTGACTTCGTATTTCGTATGGAGTGCCGGTGAAATAGAGATGGGAGCGAGAAGAAGGCGCCACGATATCCTCGCGTATTAGATAATAATATGCTCGCATCTCATGACTGTATGATTTGATCAGCATCGCTGAACGCGAGCGGGATGAGTGTTTTCTTCAAATCGACCGAAGGTGTTAATCATTGGAGCTTTGCGAAGATGTCTTCAACTTGACAAAAAAGTCATAAACATAGTACTTCATTCTCATATACTCAGTCGTATTACCTATATGATAAACATTTGGGGATCTTGTTCAAAAAATTATTTCAGTAAAATATCTGCACTTTATAAGAAATTACTGAAAGTATTGTATCGTCTCTCATTTGATATCCCAACAAATGATCTGTATGCGATAACAGAAAAATTTTCATTGGATGAATAATTATATAAAATAGATTATCTCAAAGTTTCACATAATATCATAAACAATAATCTGAAATCCAATTTTGTTTTGATAAGAAACTCAGAAATTCATGGTCATCACAGGAGACAATTAAACTTATTTCTTCTTGATTCTGCTACTTCTATAATTGGCCAAAAAAAATTTACTCCCGCTGCTCTAGCTGGATTCAATAGATTACCACATAATATAAAAAATTGCAGACACATTTCAAAATTTGAAATTGAATTAAAAAAATACATAATTTTATTACTAAATGGATAAAATTGATACTTTGCCATCTACTGAATAGTCCCTGTAGCTCAGCTCTTTTTATGACTTGATCGATTTAGCATTTTTAGATTTTTTTTTAGTATTTTTTGTTGTCGTTGATGTCACCTCATATTATTTCATTATTGTTGTTTGTAATCAACTTCCTCATACCAGAATTCTATTTCTGACTGGAAGCTAGATTCTCGATAAACAATAAACAATAAATTTACATAATAAGTTGAATGTGAGGTTGTCCTCTATTTTGAAAGTTGTAGGAAAAATATAGTAGTCCATATTCATAAAAAGAAGCCTCACCTTTTACTTTCAAAAAATGAAGCAATTCCTTCAAGGTATATGCATAAAAATAATTGATGGAAAAGGTTATGCTTCGAGGAGTTTGCTTGAAAGTGAAAGGTTTAACTTTTTTCTTATTTATAAAAAGAAGCATATGCTCAAAAACTGAAGGATGTGCTTCTGAATAAAGGAATCTAGGTTCACAACAACTTTTCATACTCTATTCAGTAGCTGCCCAGCCATCACACAGCTTATTATAACGTCACATTTGCATATTTTGAAGAGTGTGGACGGGCTTGAGTGAGTGATCTTTGGTTGTGTAGTCCCAGTGCTCTGTTTGTTTTGGGTAATATGGTGCATTTACTTACAAGAAAATACCACAAACCAAGACGCACGCCACGTGAATCAGATTTCGAAACTTTATTTAGATTTGAGGAGGATAATGTGATGAAAATGAAAGTATTTTTGCGTTATTGCGCAAAAACTGGATACCAGAGCGGAATTGCTGAAGAATTGAGATGTAAACAGCCCATAGTGTCCAGCATATTTCATGAGGTGCTTGAGTGGATTGTACAACAGAGCAGGGAATGGATACGGTATCAAGTATAAAACAAATAAACTACGCTGTCGCAGAACACATGTAAGCGTTGATTGCACACTACAAGTCTCAACCTGTCATAATCGCTGTACATTTTCTTCTTCTTCTTCTTTTGTGTTTATTGATTTTCTGACTCCTTGCCAATTTCACCAGATCCGGTAAGGGCTATACCATTGTCGATCTAAATGGAAACCTAGTTAGGTAGTTAGTAGGCGAGAGCATAATATTGTCTGTTCTTTGAAAAAATAAATGAAGGCGTTCAGTAGTACAGAGACATCAATGTGAACCAAGTAAACTAAGTTATTCCTTTTTTATTCCTAACCCCTAACCCAAACATTTTTCATGGTCCTGTCAAGTTTGTTAATAAAAATCTGTCATGTTGAAACCCAAAATTGAAACATTATCATGAAAGATATTATCAAGTATGAAAACCATCTACCGATACTTGAATGGAAGCAGGGAGATGTTTAGGCAATGCTGTATTAGGTTGACTTATGATGCAACTTGAATTTAAGTTGGAACTGTGGAAACTTCGGAAACTCATCAGTGCTTTCACACTTTTTCGACATGCAAGCCAAGCAGAAAGGTAGGGGCTGCTTATTTCCTTCTATATTTTTGATAAGTTACTATATAATTCATGAAATTCCATTATTTGCAGTGAAAACATGTCTTTAGTTATGTAAACTATGTACACATCGGATTCACTATACTTAAAAATTTCAGGTACCTACCTACAGCGAAGAGTACCTACATGAATAGCTTTTCAGTTGAAAAACGAAAAACTATGAGTGATACAAACAGATTGATGTGGAAGAATCGCATGAGGAATTATTATGTGAGTAATGTTTAGAAGAAATGTACCAGAAGGATGATGATGTTTGAGAACAGAATGGAAAATTTCCCATCTGAAATGAATATATAGAAGCAATAAGGTTAGACTCAATCTGTTTATTTCATCAATGTTTTATGGATATTCTGCTCCAAACTCAAAATATCAAGATGCTGGGATATTTAGAATTTTTTTTATTGGAAAATAACTTTTATATGTAGGAATGACAATACAATTATATTTTTTTAATAAATTGAATATAATTATGAAGAATTATTGCAATTTTTATTCTACTAATTTGTTCTCCTCTGATACCCTGTTTATTGTTGTACAGATTTATTGACAGGTAAGTTTGAAAACATTATATATTGTACCAAAGGTAAGTATTTAGGTTAAATATATGTTTTGCTGAACAATGATTATTTTTTATAAAATCATCTTATTGAAATCATCTTATTGAAGCCACTAACTTCACTAAATATGAGAAGATGTGTCTATAATTGCCACAAATTAAACCATAGGAATATTCAATACCAATATGTATAACTTTTTAATTTATATTGTCAAAATTTTGAATAAACATTATTATTATTTATTATCATTCTATAATATCTGTTCAAATGCCCGTTTCCTCCTAAGATGCTTCCTCGTCTTCAGGTCGTGTTCCTTAAGGAAGGAGTTTCTCTTCAGCATCATATTCCAAACTACATTGATGAGTCTGAAACTATAAAAATATTTGATATCTATTTTGTCCCCAGTTTCAATGTTCTGTACCATTCTGAAATGAATTCAATGACAATTGACTGGAACAATTTTTAGAGGTACCAAAGTCAAGTTCTTGGTAATTTTTATACTGAAACTTATATAGTTCTAGTCAACTAGAAACTAATAAGCTGATTGCTACAAAAAGTTTGTATAGGTAGGAACTTGTTAAATATCATTTTATTTATATATACCTTCCTTAAACAAACTTGGAACCGAACCCTCCTTCCAAAACCGTTTCCAATTCTTCATTGGCAAGAAACAGTTCCCTTAAAATGTTGGAAACATACAGTATCATGTTCGCTCACTTCAAAAACTCCCATTCCTGAAATATCAATGCATCAAGTTTCAAATATTATACGATTTAAGAAAAAAATGTCACCTTGCAATCCAATGAATATGGCATAAACTCATTGATGCCTCAGGATTTGAGGCTCAAATTCACAACAGTGGGGATAGGAGAAACCAGGTCTTGATAATTTTACACCTCCACCTCCTGGAGTGCGAAGTTTTCAGATAACATTGCAAAATAACACAATCGCACTCACAAACCAATCAACAAACTGCAATAGAAAACTAATACTAGAAGAAACAATTAGGAATAATTGTAATTTTCAAGAATACGAATTCAAAGTTCAACATATTCACAAAGACGAAATTATAAGTTAATGACAACTGTCAGAAAATAATTTTTTGATTATGACATCTCAATCTCATGAAAGAATCTTCTTCATCGCCTTTGTATCGAATATCACGTCAATGATGGAAAGCACATCTGTGGTTGATTAACATATTGGAAAAAAATAGAAGAAGACAATATCAACCTAATATGGTCTATTTTGACATAAACAAATGAGCTTTTTCCATTTTCAGGATGCCAGCGCCACTTGACAGGCAGACAGATTTTGATTCAAAGAACAGACAATATTGTACCTCCTCGCGTACTAGGTCGCCTACGTTTTCATTTAGATCGACAATGGCTATACCTTCTACTTTATTAATCTGAAGCATTTCCTTTCAAGGAAGAGGTAGAGATTATGAATAGGAATTAAAGCAAAACCTTTTACTTCTATCTCTTGCTTCTACCTTTTAATTGAAAGTAAATGCTTCATTTTTATAAATATTGTCTATTATGTAACTATTTCTAACCTTCTCCTTCTCCATCCGACTCAATATACCATCCAGCTTCGTCTTGCCCTGCTTCAGCTCGTCCTGCGTCCTCTTCAGCGTCTCGCACTCGGCTTGGCCCTGCTGGAACTGCTCCTTCATCCTTCTCAACAGCTTGTCCTCGATGGCGCTCAGGAGGGACTCTCTGATGTGCTCGTCCTTGATGGTCCCGGTGGCCCCCGGGAAACCACCCCCCGCGGGATAGGGGGTGTAGGGCGCCGGGTAAGGGGGATAAACGGGGTAGGCGTTGGCGGTCTTCGGCGGGTAGGGGGGATAGCCGCCGAAGCCGCTGGCAGAGGGGGGATAGGTGTTGGGGGGGTACGTGGGGGGCATGTAACCGGCGGAAGGTTGCGGCATGAAAGCTGGAATTATATTTTTCGCAATTTTTATTGCTTGATGTCGTCATAATAATTATTTTTTGGAGGGCATGTTATACAGGGTGTTTCAAAAAAACCTGACCCCCTTGATAGGGTAGGTAGAACACTGCAAAATATGTTGGGTTTGTTCAGTAAAAAAATGTCGTAACGGCATCCGTTTTCAAGATACAAGGTGTTGAAAAAATGTTTTTTTACACATTTTTCACGATTACCTCGAAACAACTGGCAACATTGTGATGAAATTTTGTATGGATGTTTTCTGGAACCTAACACATCGCATGAATTCGTTTTTATAACTGACTCTCATAGACGTCGTTAGTTACACGGTTCGTACCGATTAGTTTTAAACATAACTTTTTTGAGGTTAAATTCTCCAACCCAAATTTGATGTGAACTCAAACATCATTCAATTTCACATCAAAAAGGTACTCTGGGTAAAACTCGATACTGTGTTCCGTTTTCGGAATATTACGATCTGAAAATAATAGCTGATGCTCGTATAAAATGAATTTTATTGAGATCAATAAAATTACTTGTTTATTCAGGTTCAAAAACGATAACATCATTCTTGTGCTGTGGTTATTGACTGAACAAAGAATCACAAGTAGAAAATTGAGAAATATTTTACTAGAAACATATTGAATCAGTTAGAGTAAGGGTTCAAAATGTCCTCAGCTTCCACGAATACACGATTCGATTTTTTTTTTTACAAACGTCAAAAAATGACAAGGTTCGCGCATTAATAACAAATTGCGAAGTGACACTTTTTCTCAGTTTCCTACGTTACCATGATACCTTGCACAAGACAATGCGCGAAGTAAAACAGTGCGCGAAGTACCTACTTCGCGCATTGTTATGCAAAATATATGAGATACCTATATTTCAACTTTATGGTCCTCAATCGAGCAAACATTCACGAAATCATTTATTTCTGAATGTTCATCAATAACTTTATTTCATCTCTTGGAGCGCACCAAAGGAAATTCCTATTATGTTCGTGGAACATCGTGCGTAGGGAGGATAGGGGGAGGCGTTTTAAGCCAGTTCAAGACTATTTTTTATATCAAGCTGAGCATTTTTTCACTTTAGAACTATATTTTTTGATGTTTGTAGAAAAAATGTTGTTTGCAACTCGAGCGCGAAATACTTTGGTCATCTCGACTATTTTTTCAACGAGGCGTAGCGTGTTCCGTACTCCAGAATATCTTACAATAATTCAACTCCAAAATAAGTTACATTAATTTTTATCAAAGATAGATCGCATTTTCTTATAGGTAAGTGTATTTCAATTGGACCATTTTGGTTTCTAGTACACCCTGTAGAATTTATGGTACGTTGTTCTGGGACACCTTGAGTGCTTGCATAAATAGCAATCATCCTTTAAGATGCCATAAGTTGGTGTTTATCCACAAGTCATATACAGTGTCTTTCGAAATTCATTATCAAGATTTCAAGTCTCACAGTTATAGTCATTCAATAGTACCTGGAATGCCGCATTTTTTCAAATTGTCATGGATGGTTAACGATTAATTTGAAACACCTTCAAACAATTGCAGTTAGCCATTTTTTTATTCTTTTCGATCCGAAATTGGAAGATTTTTCATATTTTGTTTGCATAGCAATATTTTTCTTCGTAGAAAGGAACAGAAAAAATTCCAGATTTTTGGAATTTCGAGTGAAATAAACCCACGTATACATATGTTCCGCGTACCTATATGAAATGCCATTTTCCATTTCATTTTCACTTGTCACACTTGTCACACTCGTCACAGCAGCAATAGCAGCATCACCATCTAGCGGTAAAAAGTTGATTTAACGTCTCGCTCGATGTGATCGAGTGATTTTTTTTTAAGTTTTCAATACGTAGAAATGGCCGAGTAAGCACACATCTACTTATTTCCATCATTATCGCAATATAAGGGTATTGTTACATTTTATTCTATTCTAATAGATGTCGCTTTACGAATTCATTTTGAAATGGATATAGAAACTCAATTATCAAAATTTCATCAAACACTATCAAAAATGAACCTATACTTACACTATTTATGTATATTTTTGTCCTAAGTATGAGTGATTGTCGTTATTCGGTCCGATAGCCATTAAAAATATGACGATATCAGCGCCTCTTTTCTATGAACAAGAACCTTATAACTGTCGTAGGTTTTGTTGTATAATTTCACATTCACACTTCCCATCCAGTCTCCCCTGTTGAAAGAAGCACGAGCCGCCACTATTCATATTAAAACCCAATGAACCTAAAACCCGGCCGACTTGATTTTTATTACTGCATGTTTAAATACGAAAAAGCTACCTTACAGCTATTCAAATCCCCTCTGACAAATTTGCATTTGCGGTTTTGCTTTTCCTGAATCACTCTGTACATAGTATGATATTTAAAAAACAATTTTTCTTCATAAAATTTCTTATCTCAATAATTAATTTCACCCCTTGGTTAGGTCAGTACCCCTAAAAATTAGCTTCTTGAACTTTGTATTCAGTAGCTTGTCTATACTAATATTATAAAGAGGGAATATTTGATTGTTTGTTTGTTTAAATTGAATTCTCTCACCATTAGAAGCCGGCATTATCCCTGATGAACATAGGATGCTTTTTACCACGAGAAAACGCTTCATTCCTAAGGGAAAACGGGTAATAGGACAATGGGTAGTAAGCATTATTATCCTTCTGTACTTATCTTATTCACATAATTTCTAAATGGCTGAACCGATATGATTGGAATTTTATATGGGTATTTGGATGGATTCCTGGATGATTTGAATATACAATTAGACGCGGTAGGTGGCGCTGATGTTGATGCGTCAACTACTAAACAGCTTCAAGCTTTGTTTCTTGCTGGTCGATTTCTGGTTTGGCGATGCTAGCAATGAAACATGAGATGTTATTGTTGGTCAATGACAGCTAACCAATTCAAATTAACCATAAAAATCATATTCACGTTTCATTGCTAGCATTGCCAGTCAAAATCGCCTAGAAGAAAATTAAGCTGGACTGATTGGGTTGAATTTTTAATAAGTAAAACAACCAAAATAATACAAAAGATTCTGAGAAGGAAAGTAGGTGTAAGTATATAATAGTAGCTATAGGTCAGCACAAAAAAAATTGAAAATTACAAAAAAATATCAAACAAATATGTACTGTAGATATGAGCACAGCTCAGAATGACAGCAACAAAGGTTTTATTTCTTTTAAATAGGTTCACCAACCCAGTGAAGCTGTGCTGGACAGTAGCTTAATATGAATGAATGAATTTGAATAATTTCTATTCCATCAGAAAAATGTATAGAAAATGATAGAAGTGAAAAAATCAACACAGTTATGATCATAATTTTTTGACAATTTTCCATATCAGTTTCTCTCAATCAATTTCACTCTCTCATCAAGTCAGTTCTCCTGTAAATTAGCTTTTTTGAACTTGAACAGTATTCAGTAGCTTATTCCCCTTGGTTTTCATGATGTTCTCTGAACATTAAAGAAGGAAAAATAATAGTAGAAGAAAGACTAATACAGTAGTTATGGTCATAATGTTTGGTAATTTTTCATTTAAGTTAGGTTACTCTATATCCATTGCTTACCAAAATATTTTTTCTGTGTGTGAAGATGTTGAAATAAAAAAAGCACATTGAAATAATGTTAGTCAGATAAATATTGATCATCTAGGTAAGTAAGTAGATACTCACAGTTTGATGGATATGGCATATCACTACCCTCTTTTGCTCTGGCAAATACTGGAGGTTGCTCACCAAATGTCACAATGAGCACTTGGATGAGACCTAGTAAATCTGAAGAATTCTGAAATGATTAGCAGCTATAAAATAAACAATACTCAGCCACTGGAAGTAACCATTTTTGAACTTATCAAGTTCATCAAGGTACCATAATCTATGAGATAATCTCTATGAAGTAACAAGACTGGGGATTCATTGATTCAGGCATGCCATCACATTGTGCTGCTGTACAATGCAAAAAAAATGCAGGGAGAGATGAAGGATTATGATTTTTCAGGAAAATAGTGATCTCACATAGTATTCATTATTGCAGAAGGAATTTCAATGAGAAATGACAAAATTTCAAAATGAAAACAATACTGAAAACTATAATATTGTAGGTACTTTTAGAGAACAATGTAGCTACCTGAAAGATTGGATTTCTTGGTCTCTTCCTGCATTTTTTGTGCATTGTACACAAAAACAGGATTCCTATTGTGAAATACCTAATTATGAAAAAAACTTTCAATAATAATTGGTGAACAAATAAAAAAAGTGAGGTTGTATTTCAATGTTTCAACTCCAGGGTAGGTCATCTGACAGATCTTGCAGGCAACCCATAAATATTATTCTTCAATAACCTGTCCAACTGAATGAAGGCCATAAAATGTAACATCTATTGAATCTGAAAATCTGGAACCTAATCATTTTATAGGAATCTTGTAAATGATTTACTTCTTTGTTGACATAATTTATTTTGTCTGGTCTATCGGAACTACTTGTTCATGTATTTCTGATGGAATAGGAAAATTATTTTCATACTTACTGGAATCCAATCATGTAGGTAAGGCAGATAGATTTTTCCATTCTGATCAACAAACATTGACACTTTAATAGCCATATCAGAAGTAGGTTTAACATAGCAAATGGGTGCATTTTTTGGATGTGTGTCTATTAACCATATACAAATTGGGATATTGTAAACAGATCCTTTGTATTTAACAGGTATAGTACCACACAAATTAACCAATTCCATTCTTGTTCCATCATTGAAAGCTAATCAAAAAATAAAATTCAATTGAAATCCACCTGAAATTTATTGAACCTTACTGTATATGTCTTGTTCAGGATGTAGACCCCTGTATTGTTTCACTACACTCAGTACATCTCTAAAAGCTCCATCAGGATTCTGATACTGTAAGAAACATCATCATGAATCATAAATTACCACATACATTTGATAGGGAACATTTCTGGAAAAAAGTAGAACTTACATTACAAAGCCATTGCCTTAATCTTTCGTTATCGACCATATCGTCTGATTCCTACAAAATAACACTAATCACATACAGGATTAACCTGCTGTAAATAGTATTTTTGAGATATTCTTCAAAGTTCAAACACAAAATAATCCAATTTTCAAGAATTCAACACAACAAAAACTGCTACCTCCTACCTCTCACAATCACAATGTCAACATTGTCAAGTGAAGGATGTCAAGTGTCAACTCAACATGTCACAACACATAAGGCCTGCAGTGGGACTCTGTAACTCAAAGCGAAAGCGAAAGCATGCGTAATCGACTGCTTTTGCCGTTTCGGTACTCTGTATTAATATTCGGATGAGGTCGGAGACGCCGAACGTGAGTTCGTAAGCGAAGCATAAGCGAAGGATTTTGGTTGTCGCTTTCTGCGATTCTCAACGATTGAGGTTATAGGTATTGGTTTTTGTTGTTGTTCCTAGTTCGAACTTTGTGTTGATTTGAGAAAAATAATAGATTAATAAATGAGGAATGAACCCAAACATGGATAACAAAGCGAGCAAAAACACAATTCAGTCAGTGGGACAGATTCCTCAGTTTTACGAACAACATCCTAAAGATATTCCAGAGAGATGGAAGTTCCCTTTGGTAGGATTAAGGTAGGCGATGAAAGAACGTGAGACGTGAGATAAAAAATATGATAGACAGTGTGATGAAAACATACAGCTCATTTTTCATTCATTCATTCAAATTATCCTTCTCTTTTAGATTCCCCATACATCAAAACAGGCAGATATAAGTAGCTTCTCCAAAAAATGAAATGTGCCATTACTGAATGTTGTCTCACTGAATCCTGGTTAACAAAAATATGTCTTTGGTGTGAGTCCATTGAAGAAGACAATAATATGTAATTAAAGAATCCTACTTATATAATATGCCGATACCTACAACAGTGAAACATAACAGAAAGCTTGGAACGTTCAAATTTGAGAAATTTGCATAATAAGTGCATTGGAAGGGAAAATAATTTGGATAGCAAAAACCTTGGAGACACCCAAGAAGAACTGTGTAATATTACTGTGTACCAATAAGGGAGAATCAAGAGTAAATTCCATGAAGCAGGATTAACTGAACATTATTTACTATGTTAAACAAGAACAAGAAAGGATTCTACTTTCACTACATTAATAATTCCATCCAAGATCCTAAAGTGAACTGTAAGAAAAAGTGCATCTGTATATATGCACTGTCAATATAAAGCTGCCTTGCAGAAGGCGATTCAAGGAATTATATGTGCTTATCATCTTGTTTAATTCGCGACATAGAGAAGCAAGTTCTGATAGGTATTACATTATAGTATGTAAATAATAATATACTGAGTGTTAGATTATAGAATGATATGGCCATTATAAATATAAGCAGTTACATATCTCACAATATTATTGTTATTCTCAGATTATTTGCCTTTACTAGTTGCATATAAATAGAAAGCTATACCTGAGATATACCTATAGTGAGAATATAAATACCAATTTCTTATATGAACAAAGTAGGTACATATTTTCCAATGAGCTGCTCTGTGCAGAATAAGTTCTTGTTTGGCTGATTTCTATTTTTGTTGGCCTTGATGTCAATATCTGTTTGTAGTCAATACATTCAATCCAATTCATAGAAATAAATCATCTTCATATGTGTTTTTGATGTTTTATTGAATATATTTTCTCTCGGAAACTTCTCCAAGTGCTTTATTTCTGATTGAAACCAAAAATTAACAATACAATAATTCATAAATGCCGCTTTTTTGATCCAATGGGATGTTTCCTTTGAATAAATGGGATCCGCAACACTGTTGCCAAATTTAACTCCACCAACTTCGTTCTATTTCGTATGAAATCGTATGACGATAGCGAAAGCATAACGAACTACATATAGAGTACCGGAAAGCGAAGTCGTATACTTCGCTTCGTTTCGCTTTCGCTATGCGACACAAGTTACAGAGTCCCACTGCTGCAGTGGGACTCTGTAACTCAAAGCGAAAGCGAAAGCATGCGTAATCGACTGCTTTTGCCGTTTTGGTACTCTGTATCAATATTCGGATGAGGTCGGAGAGGCCGAACGTGAGTTCGTAAGCGAAGCAAAAGCGAAGGATTTTGGTTGCCGCTTTCTGCGATTCTCAACGATTGAGGTTATAGGTATTGGTTTTTGTTGTTGTTCCTAGTTCGAACTCTGTGTTGATTTGAGAAAAATAATAGATATAAATGAGGAATGAACCCAAACATGGATAACAAAGCGAGCAAAAACAGAACTCAGTCAGTGGGACAGATTCCTCAGTTTTACGAACAAAGTCTTAAAGATATTCCAGAGAGATGGAAGTTCCCTTTGGTAGGATTAAGGTAGGGGATGAAAGAACGTGAGACGTGAGATGAAAAATATGATAGACAGTGTGATGAAAACATACAGCTCATTTGGTAGTTGAAAAATAAACTGAAAACTGTCATTAGTGCTGTTGAATATTGTCTGGAATAATTCATATTCATTCAAATTATCCTTCTCTTTTAGATTCCTGATACATCAAAACAGGCAGATATAAGTCGCTTCTCCAAAAAATCAAATGTGCCATTACTGAATGTTGTCTCACTGAATCCTTGTTAAGAAAAATATGTCTTTGGTGTGAGTCCATTGAAGAAGACAGTAATAGGTAATTAAAGAATCCTACTGATATAATATGCCGATACCTACAACAGTGAAACATAACAGAAAGCCTGGAACGTTCAAATTTGAAAAATTTGCATAATAAGTGCATTGGAAGGGAAAATAATTTGGATAGCAAAAACCTTGGAGACACCCAAGAAGAACTGTGTAATATTACTGTGTACCAATAAGGGAGAATCAAGAGTAAATTCCATGAAACAGGATTAACTGAACATTATTTACTATGTTGAACAAGAACAAGAACGGATTCTACTTCCACTACATTAATAATTCCATCCAAGATTCTAAAGTGAACTGTAAGAAAAAGTGCATCTGTATAAATGCACTGTCAACATATAGCTGCCTTGCAGAAGGCGATTCAAGGAATTATATGTGCTTATCATCTTGTTTAATTTGCGACATAGAGAAGCAAGTTCTGATAGGTATTACATTATGGTATGTAAATAATGATATACTAAGTGTTAGATTATAGAATGATATGTGATATGTCCATTATAAATATAAGCAGTTACATATCTTACAATATTATTGTTATTCTCAGATCATTTGCCTTTACTAGTTGCATATAAATAGAAAGGTATACCTGAGATATACCTAGTGAGAATATAAATACCAATTTTTTATATGAACAAAGAATAGGTACATATTTTCCAATGAGCTGCTCTGTGCAGAATAAAAGTTCTTGTTTGGCTGATTACTATTTTTGTTAACCTTGATGTCAATATCTGTTTGTAGTCAATACATTCATTCCAATTCATAGAAATAAATCATCTTCATATGTGTTTTTGATGTTTTATTGAATTTCTTTTCTCTCGGAAACTTCTCCAAGTGCTTCATTTCTGATTGAAACCAAAAATTAACAATACAATAATTCGTAAATGCCGCTTTTTTGATCCAATGGGATGTTTCCTTTGAATAAATGGGATCCGCAACACAGTTGCCAAATTTAACTCCACCAACTTCGTTCTATTTCGTATGAAATCGTATGACGATAGCGAAAGCATAACGAACTACATATAGAGTACCGGAAAGCGAAGTCGTATACTTCGCTTCGTTTCGCTTTCGCTACGCTTTCGCTATGCGACACAAGTTACAGAGTCCCACTGCTGTTCGTTTGTATTGCTAAACTTGCTAAAGATTTTTTTCCATTAATCATTCCAGAATTACGTCATTTGACAGGTTGCTGAGGGGCAAACATTGTAGTTTGTCAAGATCTGTCATAGAAAACCAGAATTAGTGAAATCGTTTTCCTTGGAATCCGAGTTGGAATCAGAAAAAATGTCATAATTTTGTTTAGTGAAACTGTTATTATATTGTGGATATGGCAGAGGGACGGCCTGGGCAAGGCTCATCAAAGGTAACCTAACAGATAGTTTGTGTGCCCCTCAAGAAACCATGTCAGAATCACGTGTTCTAGAATGATCAATAGTTGTCTCTGTTCATGGAATAATTATCAGAGAGTCATTGAAAAGAATCAAGTGCAGCAGGTACGGCAATCACAAACGAACAGGCAAATAGGCAGTAGGCACCGACTTACACTATCTAGACTGCTAGTTAACGCAGCAATCCACACTACTTCCCGCCCTCACTCATGATAATAATTCAGGTATCTTAATCTTCAGAACGAAACATATATTTATTAATTTTTATGGAAATATGATGGACGTTACGTCTCGGTTAACTAATAGGTCGCGTGTAAGATGCAAGAACTGTCAGATGACCGACCCTGGAGGCAAAACATATTTGTTTACAAGTGATCCAAATAGTTTTCCACAATTATTATGGCATATGAATCGTTTTTTTCCGCTATTCATCAATTCGCTAATGCCATCACATTGTGCTGTTGTAAAATGCACAAAAACTGCAGCGGAAGATGAAGAAATCCGGATGGTACATTATGATTCAAAAGTAAGTACCTACTATATATAGTCACTTACATAGTTTTCATTTTTGAAATTTGGTTATTTCTCTGATTTCCCATCGGAACTCCTTCTGCAATAGAATCAGCTAATAGAAATATACCTGAAATTTCTAGAATAATGCAAGAAGATTGGATTCATGCAATCAATCGGTAGGACTGGTCTGACATGCTGACGATCGTGTGTGTTGTAGACATTTTCAATCTATTAGCAGCATTAGCTTGTATTGCAGAAGTGGCAGAAGGCAGAAGGAATTTTAATAAGGAATGACAACATTTCATAATGCTAACTATGTGAGATTACTATTTACCTGAAAAATCATATTCCCTAGTCTCTTGCTGCATTTTTTGTGCATAGTACAACAGCACAATGCGAAGGCATGCTTGAATTAATGAATAACGCAAGAAACACGATTCGTAATTGTGAAAAACTATTCCAACCTTTTGATTCCTCTGTCACCAAATAAAAAAGTGAGGTTGTGTTTCAATAATTCACAGAAGAATGAGGTTGTGTTTCAATATTTTGCCTCCAGGGTCGGTCTTCGTGCACGCGACCTATAGCGAATTCCA